TTACATATATTTGCACCTACTGTTCTTAAAATGTTTCATGTAGATGTGATAATAAGTGCTATCAATAAATTATTATTATTAAATGCAATACTACATTAGTATATTTATTGAGTATTTAAAAAATCATTTTTAATAAGTTTTAAACATTAATGTATAAGAAATACATAAGTTTTGTGAGGAGTCCCATTATGCCCCGCATAAAATGACAATCAGATTAAGTCATGGTCTCAATAAAATAAAAATTTCGTCCTTTTAAACTATTCTTTCACAGTAAAACCATTTTTTTTCTTATAGTAGACATTTCAAAGAATATTTTCGTAAAAAAATAATTCATTTATGTATTTTCATTTTGTTTAAAATTAATTTTAACCTTAGCGTTCCCGTTATGCCCCGGGTTCCCCTACATGCAAGAACTTCTTAGCACGATATCATTCTAATTGGAAGAGACATTGATGCGCTATCATTTAATTGCTCTGAAATTTTGATTACGAAGCAAAATAAATCGTTGTGTCACAGGCTTCCTAGTGACGATATTGATATGGGGTGAAGTTCCGAATAGGTGAACCCTCCGATTTTTTTGAAACTACACTATTTTTTGTATTTTTGAACGCCGATTACGAATATGACAATGAAAATTTGCGACAAGGTCATTTTCAAAGTCAAAACTAAAAAAACTGAAGGAAAAGGAGGGTTCACCTATTCGGAACTTTATCCTTGATATGAGTAATTTTGTTTTGACAGTTAAAATAGATTGATTGTAGTCGATAATTAATTCTTTTGTCCGTAAATGTAGAAGTCACGCGATATACTCGCGCGCAACGCGTCAAACGTGTTAACGGCTAAAAATAAACATATATGCGAATATGCGGAGATTAGAAAATTACCACCAAGTCCGTTACAACGGCGTGACGGCGCGAGCGCTAATTAATACGGCTCTCTTAACGGTGACCCGCTTCGCATTATTATATCCGTCTGGACCTGGCCGGAAAGAATGCGCCTACCTCCATTACGTATGTATGCAAATCGGGGGGAAAAACGCCGAATGCCTGAATCGAGCGAGGAGAAAAAAGCGCACGTCTGATTAACAGTGTACTTAAAGTGTAAGCCTCCTTACTGCCGGATTCCACCGAATCATAGCGATCGTATCGTCGATCCTGGGGATCGTGCGATCGTAACGTATCATTTTCTTTAATCCCTCCTGCCCTTTCTCTTCTCCCGCCCTTCCCCGACACGAGACGACGATTATTCCAACATGAAAAGGACTTTGTTTGCGTACTCGCGATTAGAGACAAATTGGCGTATAACTCTGTGTTGGAGCAGTTGCTTGTCGAGCAAGAAATCTGGGCTTAACTCCTGAAATTATTATCCCGCGTTAGAAATTTTCTATAAGAGAATAATTTACCGGAATACAAATAAAGTACCGGAAATATGAACTTGAGTCCAAGATAGGGATCGATGTGTACAGTTTACATATGTCAAACTAGGTCTTCAAAATCTGGTTTAAAACGCTTCAATAATTCTGCTGTTATAGCAATTATCGCTGTAAGTATCGCTAAAACACGATTAAATTGCATTGTCGCGAGCGTTGGGGCATCGATAATCGGTATCGATGGTATATAAGGTTACCGGTAAGGTCGTAAACTAAGGCTGGATGGGCAACGAGCACGTTAATACGGGGGAATTACATTCCCATTTTTCATCGTATCGATTAAGATGCTCCGGCTTCGTTCGTTTAATTACGAAAACAGTCGTCTGGTTTGATACGTGATATAAGAACGACGTGTTGACCTGACCTTCGATTCCCAGTGTCACGTTATATAACGGTCGTATAATCTCACGACATCCATATGTGATATTAAGACTTGTCTGTTATTACAACTATCTAGAAATATTTGGAAACTTGCAAGGGCTTTATAAAGCAAAATTCGAGGAGTAAACCGCTGAGGGCATTGTGGTGTACAGATTTGTGGCATTACTGGGCATTACTAGGCATTTTTTGGGCATTAGTTTGGGCATTAGGCCTTGCTGGGACATTATAAAGATAAAATAAGATAATGAGATAATGTATTGTCCACTGGGCATTAGCGGGCATTGGTGTACAAGATTTTGGTCAGCGGTTTCCCCCTCGGTAAAAGTTTAAGAAATAATATAGAGGAAAGTCTTCTCTTATGGGGACTCCTCACAATAGGGGACTTTCTTCCGTATAACATTTAAGAAGCAATATATGCTTCAAGTAATGTCATAATCACAAACTCTAGAGATAATTTGAAGAAAAGCGAAAACTTTCAGCTAGATGGAGACATTTATATATATATATATATATATATATATATATATGCTTTATTACCTTTAGCATACAGCCAGAAAGTGGGACTTGGTTTACAAAAGTTCCTTAACCACTCATTCATCCATACTCTCTCTAATCTCTACCCCTAAACTCTTTCCCTTCTTATTTCTTACTTCTAATTTCTTATTTCTACAATGACTAGCTCATCTTTTTTTGCCTTTCTTTTTCCTTCCATAATTTACACAGCTTGCGTTCGTTTTCTCCCATATATGTAGTTTATGCTCCCGGTGGGAGAAAACGAACGCAGGCATAATATCTTTCCTTTATCTTCATCTATTACATCGTTATATAATCTTTAGATGGAGACATTTATAAAGTATCTTGCAAATTGTCTCGTTTCCTTTTCACCGTTATTTTACACAGGACATTTCTTAAATTTTCAAATGGCGTTGATTCGACACCGAGAAACAGTTTTATCGGATAAATCAATTAATCGATGACTAACTTTTCCGGACCTAAGACAGTGAAACAGGTCGAACGCCAGTATAAAATTGACTCCTACTTATAAAATTGACAGTGTCGGAAATTTCTACTTTTGCCAATTTAGCATTAAGGTAGGTCCTTTTAAGCAGGAGCTAAAGTAAATTTTTTAAATTCAAGATTCAAAGATTTTTTAAATTCAAGGGAGGAATAAAAAAAATATAACGTCATCAAAGTAGGTGGTGTTCTGTAAGTGTATAGGTCAGCTAAGTAGGTGTAAATTAGCCTTAAAAGTGTCAAAATAGTACCAAGACTTCGACTCAGGTATCCGTTTGTTATTATGTAATTGGATTATCCAATTATATTCAATCGGACATTTTTCTCAGTGTAGGAACAGCAACAAATTCTGCTGAAAAACAGACTTCGATTTATCGTTCCTGGATGAAAAATATGTGTACACACATGCGACGGGGACACGCAATATGATAACCTACTCGACTATCGTCTAATGACGCACGCTGATGCTCGTTTAAAGGATTCATTTAATTGCGCTTTAACAAGCTTTTAGCTTCAACTGACAACTCCGCCACCCCCAGGTCATTAAATCGCGGATTTACCATGTAGGAAAGCAACTGTACTTCCACCGCGCCTACCACGTATGCCGGAATTTCTGGAGAATTCGTGCGAATTATGACCGGACAATTATCGTATTATACATATTCATATGCGATATAAGGCGAATGCTCGGGCAGTCGCCCCGTACGCGACTTGGACCGCGAGGGGCCACCGAAAGGTCGACGCACGATCTTTTCGGGCCCTCGAAATTTATCTGATCCCCCTTCGCGCCGCCGTTTACATTGTCGGACCGTAAATATCGCGCGGACCCGGTTTAATTATGCGCTGTTTTCGCGTTCCTCAACCGAGATTTCGGTGATTAACCCGCCGGGGCTACCGTGCGAAGTTATGGGACGTCCGGCCCCGACATCCGACGCTTTTTACAAGGCGAGCGTTCCCCCGTGTAATTAGGACATTCCGAACTTTTCGTCTCGCGAGCTGACCGGTCTTCTTCGTACAAAGGAAATTCCATCGGTTCTGCAGAGAATATTTAATTTCCGGATGCATTTTTTAACAGAATGCGTTTTTCATTATTTCGGCTATTTGTAGATTTCGTTAATCCATTTGTGATTTGACTCTGTCCTATTAATTGCATTTTATAGAAGTAGGATAATGCGTAACGTACGCGTCTCCATTTCTTTGATTGTGGATTATATTTGAGTTACGTAAGTTAAAAAACGTATAAAGAACTGTAGAGAATTTTTGGAGAAGAGCCAGAATTCCATCTCGGTCCATTGAATAAGAACATTTTTAATTGAAGAGCGGTCAACGATGTTCAATGGTTTGTTCTTTTTATCAATTACAGTTATCAGCCTCATCGCCTGGAACTATTTCCCCCGTGGTCGCGCCGATACTTTTGAAATATCGCGTATGCAGACCTCGACTGCTGCTTGCTGGATCGAGGGCCGAAGTTGATCCCGCGGCCGACGTAGCCCTTCTGCACGGCGAAGTTCTGCTCATCGAAGACTCCGCAAAGCAATTCGACGCGATTGGAGGTAATTAATCCTACTTTTTCTCGTACTTCGTACAACGTTTATTCTTGATTGTGAAGAAATTACATGAAGCTAGAAAAGTTAACTTTATTAAATAACTGAAAATTCAATTAAAATCTACGATATGAAATTTGTCCAACTGCAGCTTGCACAATTATTTAGAGTTCGATCGCATAACTTTATCCGACGTTGTTCCGAATCCAAATTGTTCCTGCTCTAATTCACGATATCTAAATTATATTTATAACAATAATTTTATACACATTTGCAGGAAAATTTGTTTGAGTAGCTTTTTGTCGCCAGTGGTAATCAACCAAGGGAAATGTTAAAAAATTTATGCCGAAACGGAATGGGTTCAAAATTAATGTTGTAAATAAATGTTCAGTCAACCTTAGATTGTACTTGAAAAGGACCCGATAAAGGGGTCGAAACGTCGTGACTGAAATAAACGTCATTTTTGTCAGTTTGATCGTTTTTTTTTAATTTCTCTTTGGAAGAAAATTTGTTTCCAACGTGAACGGAAACGTGATCGTTTGCGAGTATAATTGTGAGCTAAATGAAAATGGAATTGTTTCGCAGATACAGATCGCAGGTACAGGGCTACAGAGAAGTTGTTGCACGTGGAAGAAGAGTATCACGAAGCGTTGTGCAGTGCCAAAGACTTGTACGCCCGCCCGTTGGCACGGAGTTACCCCGAGTTTCACGATGTTATCTTTCAACCCCTCGCAGATCTGTCGCGAGTCAGCGCGGAGCATTGCCAGAGGGTGAGTAATTACGTCACAATGCAAATTTAGCGCAAATTGAGTTCGAGGCGAGTGCGCGAAATCGCGAGTTCGACAAAGGAAAAAAAAAAGACAAATGTAAGAGCGCGAGATCTACGGTTTGCGCAGTACGTTACTGAGCGCATGTGCGCTCTTATCGACGGACTAGAGCTCGAGTGAACGAAAGACACATTGAGCAGCTCCGTGGAAGATGGCGGCACGTGAACTGGCTTTACCTTGCCACACACCTGTTGCTTCTGCGAGGTACCTTTCTCCGTCCGTCGAATGTCGCAATTCGTAACGCGAGTCACCGCAACCTTTCCGAGAGAAGGACAGAAAATGTGACGACGCTAAACAGTCGAATGTAAATTGCGCCAATGAGTCAAGCGCAGATAGACTCACGGATATTATTGGTCCTTCCTTTTGTCTATCAGAATCGACATTTTTCAACGATAATTTAGCAAGTGAAAACGAAGCATAGCGTTTTCTATAATAATATACTTTAGCGATCGAACTGTAATTCACATAAGACGAAAACAAAATTCACACAAGATTAAATGAAAGTAGAAAGTTCACGTACCGATCTAGCGCTTTTGAAGTTAAATGCGCAAAAGTCTATTTTTACTTGTTTATTATATGATTGAAGAACTATCAATATCTCGATATGGGAACTGCAGTCGAGAGAAAGTGAGCAGACTTATATAAAGCAAAAATGAATACGATCTACCCACTGCCTTATTTAAACGTAATGCATAGTTAATTAAAATAATCGATTATCCTAATATGATCCTTTAAATTATAGTTTATCGTGGATAGAGTTGAGTTGTTTTAAATAAGAAAGTGTTAGTTGTATCTACGGTCGTGTTTTTCAAGAATATAATAGCCAGCTCGATAGCAAAAACTCTTGAATGAAGCTAAATTGGATAATCTTCTAATTTTTATTCGGATCAATAAATAAAAAAGCGTTAAAGCCGAGAATTGGTTTCGTGGACCTATGGAGCGACAACAATTTGCGAATTTTCCCGATGGCCGACAGCGCGCCACGAATGAATGCTAATAAACGGACGCGATTTCTGACACGGCCCGAGGCCAGGCACGTACCGGTCCAGGTCGCATTGAGCAGCGGCAACGGCAGTAGGATCCACGGGCGTGTAAGCGCGACGGTGGACGTGTTTTCTTTAGGGCTGACAATAAAGAGAGGATACCTGTCCTTCGGATGTAAACACAAAGCCGCGCCGGCGGAGAGCCGGCTAACGAGTCGGGATGAGCGATGACGGTGGTTAGCACCCTCATAAATATTGACTTTTACAAGACGACGAGCGGCGTACGTGCATACGTACCTATGGCGCATGGGTACGGGTCTCGAATCGCGGCGACGGCACCTACAGCTTGGAGGCTGCGCAGGATACGCTGCATCTCGCGGGCAACGCAGACTCGTAAAGTGAAAAACGTCCGCGGCGCGCAGATCGTTGCGCGGGATTCGCGAGGCGAAACCGAGGGTGGAAACGCCTACCTTCTTTATTCTGCGCGCTCAACATCGCGGCCATCAATAACAAAGTTGCCGTGCAGGCTGCAAAAACGCCACAAAAATCGGAGGTCTCTCTCTCTCTCTCTCTCACACACACTCTCTCTTCTTTGGTCTTCCCTCGCGGTGAATCGTGTTCACGTTCGGGGATATTGTACCGAGGGAGAAAGAGAGAGAGAGAGAGAGAGGGGGGGGATATATTAATTGTAGCGACTTATGATCTCCTACGCTACGTTCGTTTTATTTTCGTCCTGACTCGGCCGGAGTGACGTTTTAAGCGGTGCTGCGGCGGCAGACCTTGGACCGGTGTGCGGTACGATTTACATTTTATTTTAATGAGCGCATTAAACGGTTATCGGTTACTTCGATCGACCTGTTCGCAACCGCCGCCGCCGCCGCCGCCGTCGCCGCTCACGGAGAGATGATAATTTCGAGAGAAAAATCCCGCCGATGGGGGATGCTACACGCGACCTTCATTCCCGTGACTGGCCAACTTCCTTTTGGGGCGTGCATCGTGATTAAGACACCATCTTCGCCGCGGACGCAACTTTTGTGGGGCACCGTAATCGGCGGATCGGATCTCCGCCGAGGCTCCGCGAGATTGCGCTCGAATTGAGTCGTAAATACTAGCATTAATGAGAATAATCGTAACAATAATAATAATAATAACCAATGTTACAGCCACATTAGCCGTTAAAAGATAATTGCTTTCCGTTAATAGCACTTCCCTACGATTCAGACTAACGCGTGTATCGTGATAACGATGATATAGATACAACGTGATTTTTACTCGGTTGCTTATTAAGTAATATTTTTGTAAACTCGCGTTTGAAATCGTTATACAGGGTGTTATGTAATACCCGCCTCACCTCTTATTTACGGATAGAGCGGACTAGACTGAGTCGAAAAGTCCTCTACCATTTTGCAATTTTCGCGATAGTTAACGAGTGATTAATTATTCAAAATCGCTGTCTTAGCCCGGCCTACCGCCCAATTCGAACGCGCGGGGAGTTGTTTATGACACACGGCAACGGCTACGTATAATAAACAACTCCCCGCGCGCCTAGCAACGCCAATCGCGGGACGGCCGCATCTCGCCGTGCGCTTGAATTGGGCGGTAGGCCGGGCTAAGACAGCGAATTTTAATAATTCATAACTCGTTAACTATTGCGAAAATTGCAAAATGGTAGAGGACTTTTCGACTCAGTCTAGGCCGCTCTATCCGTAAATAAGAGGTGGGGCGGGTATTACATGACACCCTGTATACTTTTAGGTCAAATTTGTAGCGTCGAGCCTTGTCTTGAACTAAAACAGTAACTTGTCGCGCGACGATAATTTATCGGTGATCTCGATCGATGAATAATCGCGACGCGATACCCGTAGCAGAGTGACGTCCTAACTCGGAACTTTGGACGGAGAACACCAGGCTCGTACGGGCGAAACTGGTTTATCTCCGGCCGAAGGAAGCGCGAGCCGTCCTTTGTATTTCGCGTGGTGGAGATTTACCGCGGAGCGTTTACCGAATTTTAGTGCCGCAAAGATGGCGTTGCGGGTACCCCGACGCGATACAAAAGCGCGCGGCCCGAACCGCAGGTTAATTAGCGAAAACGCTCGGGATCGTTCTCGCCGTTCTCGAGGGGAGGGCATCACGACCAATCTTTCCCATCCTCGTCGTGCACGCGTCGCTCGCTTCTTCTCGACGCGCTCTTTTTATCCGGAACCCGTTGCCTGCCCCTCATCCGCGGCCTGCGCCGCTGCAATTTCACTTTGGAGGCACCTCGCGGTCACCCAGAGGGCAATTAGAAGCAATCGCGCATCTGGAAGGCGAGGGAGAGACGTGTATCTGCCTTTCTTCGTCCCTCCTTTCGTCTCTCTTCCTCCTTTCTTTCCTTCGCCTTCCTTTTTTCTCCCTCGGTAGACACGGGAATAACAGAGGGGATTCTGCTTTATTTGTCTCTTCAAGCAGCTTCAAAGGGATTCTTCCTGTGGAGGTGGAACTGTTGATGAGAGAATGCCCTCTCGGTGCTGCTTCCTTCATTTTACGCGATACTATCGCGATAATATGTTGGAAGATGAACGTACTCATTCCATGTAAAATATGTTCATATCAATTCTTGATTGATTATGGGACGCTTAGATTGATATATGTATATATTTATACATAATTCTTTAATATAAATATGTTCAAGATTGAATAAGAAGAAATTTACAATTTGCTATTTAAAGCACTCTTGTGTTATACATATATTGAAGTAGAAGATTACAAACTATCTTCTGATAAGTTTAACCTTTTAATTAACCAGGTTGCATTACTACAAAGAATCGATGAGAGAAGGTCAAAACAGGGTAAAAAGAAGATTATTTTCCACGTTTAAACCAAGCACCGTCTTCCGCGCTTATTGGCTCACATTGGCCTTCCCTCGTCGATTCTTTATCTTTTTTCGAGCCTTCACCACTCTTCTTGCGCTACTATATTTCGATAGACACATAAACATATCGAGACCATTCTTCTCGACAAGTAGAGACAGTCCGAGTATGCGGGCTTCAAGAAAATAATGACCTTTCGAAGAGAATTTTAATAGGCGCGGCTCAAAGTTTCGTTGGCTCCTGGTCAAAGAAGTTTCGGTCGAAACGAACGGCTTTTTTTTCCGTCGAATCCGACATCCCTGTTGATGTTTGACTGACGAGTCCAGAATTTTGAAGAGATAGAGGAAGAGGTCCGCGGACGGTCAGCCGATGCTCGTCGTCCTGTTCTCGCTGGGCTGCATCACCATCGTCGTAAATTACGTTTTTGCCCGTCGCAACGCAACGCTACGGCAGTCGTGGTCGGCCGTGTTGCGGTGATGCAACAGAGAGGAGCTTAATACGACGGCTTCCGCGCGATGCAGGTGCGTCGCGCGAGAAACGCGCGCTGCCGCGTCGTTCCGCGAGAATGCGGCGCGACGCGTCATCCGGGGACCAACGCCCTTCTACGTCGGGTGCATTTTTGCGAGCACGCGGTGATTAACTTATTTACCGCGGCAGCGACAGCGGTAATTAATTCACCTGGGAATCGTAGTTTCAGGAAATCGGTCGGGCCGGAGATTAATTGCCGCGATTGCGGCCGCGCCGCGTGATCCGCGTTCGCACGTTTTACCTCCTCGCATCGCGCACATCCGGAGTAATAACGCACGAGTTAACAGTCTATTGAGTTTGCGCCGGTACCATCGTTCAACTTTCGCGTTAACCTTTCGAATACTAAAGTTAAAATCTCGCGAAAAATAGGTACTTTCCCGAGTCGAAATTTTGGTACTATTTTAACACTTTTAAGGATAATTTACAAACACTAAGCTGATCTATGCACGTACATAGACCAGTAATACCCTACTATGATGACATTATATTTTTTACTCCTCCCTTGAATCTTTAATTCTAAAAATTTACTTTAGTTCCCACTTAAAAGGGCCTACTTTAATGCTAAATTGGCAAAAGTAGAAAC